ATGAAGACTTGGTTCCTCCCTGGCATCTCCCGCAGGTGTGGTCTTGTCCTGGAGCATTACAGCATCCGGGGATCACTGAGGTCTCAGTTGTGACCCGAGGCCAAAATGCAATTATGTCTGGAATGTCGTGGCTGGTCTGTAGGCAGGAGAACCAGGCCTGCTCAAATGATTTTTCCCTAGAATTATGTAGTATTGCTCCCAACACCAGAGGGAAAAAAATTAAAAATAAATCAGCTAAGACAGGCATGGTGGCCCATGCTTGTTTTGTTTTGTTTCAGACAGGGTCTCTCTATTAGCCCAGCCTGGCTTTGAACTCACAGCAATCCTCCTGCCTCTGCCTCCTGAATGCTGGGACTACAGGCATGTGCCTCCATACCCAGACTAAATGCTTTTGATTTATTATGTTTAGATTCACAGACACCCTGAAGATAGGGGATTTTGCTCTCTTAATCAGATGTGCTGGGTGCAGTAGTGCACACCTTAATCCCAGCACTTGGGAGGTTGAGGCTGGAGGGTCACTGTGAGTTTCAGGCCAACCTGGGCTACATAGCGAGACTTTGTCTCAAAAATCAAAAACAAAAAAGTAGTATACTGCACATGACACTTCTTTGCTAATTTCTTTATTCATGTGTGGTACTGGGGATTGAACCCTGGGTCTTTGCACTGAGATCCATCCCCAGCCCTATTTATTTTTTATTTTGAGACAGTGACTAAGTGACTAAGTTGCCCAGCTGGTCTTGAAATGGAGATCCTCCTGCCTCAGCCTCCCAGAGTGGTAGAATTTTGAGCCCCTTTGCCTTGGAGATTCTGCAGCCTATGGATTGATCATTTCTCAGATTCGCTGCCTCTCTCCTGGCCCCAGGCTCCTGCTCAGTCCCTGTGTCCAATGAGATGCTCCTGTTTTTTCCGTAGCAGCAGCAGCAGCAGCAACACCTGCCTGCTGCCCACCTCCTGCGACCCGGGAACGGCCACTGTCAGGAGCTAGTGCTGACCGAGGATGAGAAGAAGCTACTGGCCAAGGAGGGGGTCACCCTGCCTACCCAGCTGCCCCTCACCAAGGTGCGTGGGGGACACCCTGGCCCCAACTTTCCTGGCTTTCTGTGCAACCTGCCTATTGGGCTCCCCTTTAGGCTGTGTACATACACTAAGACTTTAACACATCTGTCTCCAGAGCCAGACAATCAGCCAGAGGTTCCCCCTAAGTTCAACCCAGAGCCCACAGCTGTACAGGATGTTGCTGAGTGGCTAAGTTGCCCAGGCTGGGTTTGAACTTGAGATCCTCCTGCCTCAGCCTCTCAGAGTGCTGGGATGACAGGCATGCTGCGCTGCACCCATCTTGGGATGACTTCGTTTTGCCCCTCTGACACCAGAGCTTACAAACCAAATGTCCTGTATTCAGGCATGGCCCCTAGGCATGTTTTCATTAGAATCTTGTGCATTGTACCAATGCTTGAATTGGTTGCTAATGTTTTTCTGATCAGGCAATGGCACAGAAACATTCAGTGCCTGTAGCCTGCTGTTTCCAGATTAACCATGTACAACAGCTGATGGCTGAATAGCTGCTTGAGTGGTCTCAGTTGCCACAGTCCCACCAGCTTGTTCCTTTCAATGCCAACACTTCACTTTGTTTGCCGTCATGTATGTTATTTATTTATTTATTTATTCCATTCAGTTTATTGGTACATTTTAGGTATACAATACCATTACATTCATCATTGGGATCTTGTACCATTACATGAGTATCTTGGTTCTTATTTTTTCCCCATTCCCCAGCCCTCCCTTCA